ATTATTATTATTATTATTATTATTATTGTTATTATTATTATTATTACTCCTGTTATTACTAATAGTGATGACATAAAGCAACACCTGTTTACTATATTCAATAACCTTTAATTTTTGAATTTTCCAGCGTAACGACATTCAATGTTATTCTAAGCTTCCAAGGAAGAAAAAAGGTAATAAAAAGTTCCAGATGTTATGAAATTCAAGTTTTCAAAGTTCGAGTTTTTGTGTTTGCACTAAAATTGAATAATGTTTCTTATGCCCGTCAACTACAAAAGTCTGAAGCAAATCAAGTCTACAAAGGTGATTATAATAATAACAATAACTAATTAAATTTCTATTCAACCACTTGAATTCCAGAGTAACCAATTTTCACTTTTCAATTGAAGAAACAATTTTCCATTCCAGTGCAAATTGACATAGCACGTTCCTAATATCGTGTCTCTATTAGGGTTTCGTAAAAAAAATTGGACACTAAGGTAATACCTTCAGACCTTACATCTTCTTAAGAGGACTGCATAATTTGTAGCACGAGCTTTTGAAAAATATATTTGTTGCTCAAATGAGACGAAATTAAATATAAATGACTACGTAAAAATAACTGGAGTTGTTCTGCATCCTGGTTATAAAAAACCTACTTGCGAAAATAATATATATCTACCCACCTATCTATCTATCTATCTATCTATCTATCTATCTATCTATCTATCTATATATCTATCTATCTATCTATTTATCTATCTATCTATCTACCTATCTATATATTTATCCACCTATCTACCCATCTATCTAACCATATGTCTATCCATCTATCTCTCCACCTATCTATTTATCAACCTACCTACCTACCTACCTATCTATCTATCTATTTACGAATGCATCCAACATTTACCGTGCCTTACTCGTGCAACATTGCAAAAACATTGTTTCGAACGTCGTGCAAGCCGTCCTCATATGAGTCCTCCCGTCCGTCACAAAACGCGACACAACTATTACCGGATAAAGACCCCCGCAGCCGGCGCGCGCGGCTCTGTTGGGGGCCTCCGTGGAAGCCTCCGAATCCAGGGGCTCGACCGCCCGGGCTGACGGACGGCTGGTGCGCGCCTGTCACGCGCGCCTCCGCGCTGCCCCCGCGGCGGACGCCGCCCGCACCCCTGCGGCACGCCCCTCCGCAAATGCCATACAGACACGACAGAAACTCTCTCGTACTATTTACCCTCGTACCAAATCTGCTATTTTGAATGATTGCCTTTTCTAGTAATGAAAAAACAGGACTGCTAGTTGTATCAGGATAGAGCTACATATTCTTTTTAAAGCTAAAGAATATAGTTTTTTGGGGGGAAAATTACAAATTCAAAAACTCTGTTTCTATAAACATTGGTAGGTATTGACATTATTATACAGCATATTAATAAATCAGACATATTTACTTAAGTTAAAGATGAATAAAGACAATAAGAGTTGGCCTTATCAGAAATTTCATGATGCTAATAAAAATAAAAGTAAAAGCAGCTTCATTTGGGGATCGCGTTCTTATGAATATAATAACTCTGGAAAGATTGAAAAAGTATGCTATCAGTGGGAAAACCAAAAAAAGCTCACAAATCTATTATATAAAATCTCATATGATTGCATAACCCAGAGTTGTAGTGATCTAAGTATTAAATCTAGATAGCTTACACAAAGAGCTTTTGCACGAGAACATAGGACCACTTTTCTCTAATTAGGCGGCGCAACCCAATAAACTATTTTTCCGAGCTTCCAACACTCTTACATTTACTTTTTTATCTTTGTATTTATCGTCAATACACACTGATTGCATATATGGGTTTTTACTAATTATTTGATTTTGGTGTTTACCTTTTTATGGCCGCCAGCACCCCTGCGGCACGCCCCTCCGCATATACCATAGAGACACGACAGAACCTTTCTCGTACTATTAACCCCCGTACAATAACTGCTATTTAGAATTAAGTACTATACCTGAGGCCTTTTTGAACCCCACCTTTACTATTGGAAGTGGTTAGGCAATATATAATATGCAATATAAATGGTAATATACCGGCATAGTGGTTAAGCGGAAGAGCAGGCCCTATGGCCTGAGCCTCGGCATTAATAAAGGCTTTATTATTATTATTATTATTATTATTATTATTATTATTATACCGAGGCAACGAATTTTTTATATAAGAACACATTTTATTAATAATTTTCAATAACACAATAAATCTAATTTATTCATATTAAATATTTCATATAAAGAATAATCTCTACCGTGCGTAACCTCCTTTGTTGATATACTATGCTTCAGAAATATTTATAATAGTGTGAGTAAGTTATTTCAAAATAAATGAAATATTGACTGTATCAAGCACATTTTTTGAAGTTTAAGACAAGATAATTCAAATACGAATGGGAAAACAACAGGCTATACCTTCGGTCAAACCAGTCTCATGTAAGGAAGAAAATAAACAACTCTCTAATAAAATTTGGAAAAAATGTGCAAATGGTTTTCTACCTGTTTAATAAATGCACAAAGGCAAATCTAGAAGACTGAAATTATCCTAACTATATACAGGAACATATTAACAAATTAATGATGATGGGGTCCAAAAGGACTTGACAGCTCCCGGCGAACATGGGGTCGGGAGTTCGGTCATCCAATCAGAGGCTTCAAATTGTGATCATGCTTTTTAAGAAAAAAACTGAAATCACATATCATAAAGCAACTGTAAGTTTAAGAGTGCCATTACTTCTCTGTTTATGAATCCTATGGTTAGGAATGAATGTCTACGGTTGGGTGCTCTTATTGCGTTTTGTTTCTGGCTGCTGTTGTGATCTAATGCAACAACACGATTACGCCCACACGATCACGCATCTGTCGCCCGAGTACGTGGCAATATTGCTCTACCTCCTCCCCAGCTGCCAAATAGACAGAAACATTATTCGAATAATAATTCATATTTCAATACATATACAATAACTTTCGCATCTCTCTGCGAAACGTAAGTAAACATTTTAAGTTAACTAAAAATATTTGAAGCTTATACACTTCGCAACTGGCAATAACAATGGTGATGACAGATCGAGCTACTAGGTGCGCTAGAGACGAGTGTTTTCGGTTAATTTGTAGAGAGTCATGTATTATCTCAATAGTATTTGGTATAATACGGTAGTTGAACCTCGATCATTCCATCTTCAATAAATCAAACGCTATTAATTAGAATTAATATCTTTAAGGCATATTCCTCAACATCTTGAATTTCTCTAAAACTCAAATTCCTCAATTTCTCAAATGTTCCATTAATTCGAATTTCGCCCTAACTCGAATGTCTCCATAATTTGTATTTTTCATATTTCAGAATTCTTTGTAAAAAAAAATCCCGCTCAACTTGCATGCATCAATGTTCGAATATACTCATAACACAAATATGGTCGTAACACGAATTCAGCAATAACTCGGTTGCAGCCTTAACTTGAATATAACCATAACTAAAATGTATCTAAATCTCGATTTTTTCGTAACTCGTATTTCTCTATAACTAAAAATTTCTTCGTCACTTAAAAGACTTTTCTGTATATCAAACTTTTCCGTAGCTCAAATGTCTCCGTACATATCAATAACTGAAATTCCTCAATGTCTCAAGTTTCCCAAAATCTTAGATTTATCAACACCTCGAATGGCTTCTTAAGTAGGATTCCTGGTTGTACAGAATGTTGTTCATTACCAATTCTCTTAATTATCCCAGTAAATTATCCACTCTAGAATAACTTCAGAAGTGTTCCATCACTTAGAACGCCTAATAAAGGTACGCTATGCGAGGCCTCTCACATCCATGCATCCACCATAATTCATTCTGACGATTATCATATCACAAATGCTGCACTTCGAAATCTCACTCCGTCGTTCCACAATGGTTTCCCTCTATTCTTAAGCGTCCATCGCCATATTGCAACATAATTTTACATATATTATTACATGTATATTTTCAATTACATCAAAGAATTATGTAAACAATTTAGTATTATAGAAAATTTGTTAAGGGAATGTTTTATTTGTCACAATTTCATTTCAATTACGTTTCTAATGCTCTATTTCCAGCCCTTGTAATTTTATTCTCTTCGTTTTGGCATATCCTATACTTGTACTCCATGCAGAACAATACACCTTGCGAAATTATCTTTAAAGTTTTCACAAACACAATATGCCTTAGGTTCAATTATTTTCATTTAGGCTTCTGGCATGTAGAAAATTTCAAAAGTTTATTTTTTTCGTACATGTTCTTCACCTTTAATAATTAAGCTAGATTTTTTATAATTATATTCCTCAATATTATATCTTCGTATTATTCCTCAATATAAAATTTTAAAATTATTTCATGCTCATGATTTTGAAAAATATGAGTGGTTTTTGTTTTATTTTGATTTATATCGTTTGAATTTTTCGATTGACTGCTGAAATATTTGCAGAATAGAAGGTGTAGTATAAAACTACATATCCGTTACGAATAATAATACGAGAAAGAATGTGCTGCGGCAGCATCTCTAGTTTTACTTATTTTAAACGTAATACTTGTATTCCCAGTGATCGAGTGATACTGTCACATTTCAAAGTTCCCTTTTAGTATTC